AAAAAAAAAAAAAAAAAAAGAAGGATTCAGTGAAAGGAATTGAGGTGACCCTCTCAAGTGGTTGTGATGACCAGATTCTAGAATAGCCTGTGTGGCTTGTGGGCCACTAGGTAGACACCCTATTGCCCCAGGTCCTGAGGCTTGATGGGGGTCTGGTCAGCAGTCGCATGAGAAGGTCCTTGACATGTCCAGCCGGAGAGCACAGACTGCTGGCCTATGGCCAGATCTCACCTATGGACATGTTTGATCATTGCAGTTTTTAACAAGGGGATTTGTTGCCAGTATCTAAAAACTAGATTTAACATGATCTGGATTTCTAATATCACCTAAAAATGAGATGCTCAGGCAGCATTGGGCCTGCACTGTCATAGCCACTGGGGCTGGCAGCAAGGGTCCCTGAGACACTGGGCACGGGTTCCCTGTTGTGTGGTGCTTCTCTCCTTCCCAAGTGGGCTAACAGCAATACAATTAGGCTCTCAGACCCCTTGGGAGAGGAGAGAAGCACCGCACAACAAACATCAAAAGCAGGCTGGTCGTGGTGGTTCACGCCTGCAGTCCAGCACTTTGGGAGGCTGAGGCAGGTAGATCACGAGGTCAGGAGTTCAAGACCAGCCTGGCCAACATGCTGAAACCCCGTATCTACTAAAACTACAAAAATTAATCAGGTGTGGTGGCACCCGCCTGTAATCCCAGCTATTCAGGAGGCTGAAGCAGAAGAATGGCTTGAACCTGAAAGGCAGAGGTTGCAGTGAGCCAAGATCACACCACTGCACTTCAGCCTGGGTGACAGAACAAGACTCCATCTCAAAAAAAAAAAAAAAAGAATAAAAAGCAATCTGGAAGCTTTTGTTTCTTAAAACCATTCCTCCTGGATGTATTTTCCCAAGAGAGAACCAGCCATTCACCGGGAGTGCTTCACCTACTTTCATGTCTTGCCTGACCTCAGACCCAGACCCAGTGAAGGCTGTTAGGTAGATCCAGGACCACTCGGGACCATTTTAGATGATTGTCTCACAGGCTCTGTTCTGGACTTCTATTGATTGATTGATTGATTGATTGATTGAGGCGGAGTCCTAGGCTGTAGTGCAGTGGCATGATCTCGGCTCACTGTAACCTCCGACTCCTTGGTTTAAGCAATTCTCCCTCAGCCTCCTGAGTGGCTGGAACTACAGGCGTGCGCCACCACAGCCAGCTAATTTTTTTGTATTTTTAGTAGCGACGGGGTTTCACCATGTTGGCCAGGATGGCCTTGATCTCCTGACCTTGTGATCCGCCCACCTCGGCCTCCCAAAGTGATGAGATTATAAGTATGAGCCACTGCACCCAACCAGACTTTTATTTTTTTGATGAAATTTAATGTTCTGTAGGTTGATAGGTGCAGCAAACCACCATGACACGTTTACCTATGTAACAAACCTGCACGTTCTGCACATGTATCCCAGAACTTAAAATAAGATTAAATTGAAAAAATTTAATGTTCTAGATGCTAACTATATCCCTTATCATCCGTGGTGGCTTGCTTTTCTAAAAAATATTATACACAAGTTTCTTCTGTTGCACCCAAGGGAAGTGGAATATTTTACTTTCCCATAAACTTGTCTTATGATGGAATACCTAGATACCCTGGTGATGATGGACACTTTTAGAGAAAGTTAAAAGTTAACTAGACTTAAGATGTTTTTAATCCTTGGATTTGTCCTGACATTATGAGTTTGGTGTTGAAGGACTCAGCAGCTGGGAGTTTGAGGCCTGGCATAAAATTACTTGAAGATTAAAGGATCATTCAGTATAGATATGATGGTCATTTGGGCTTATCTCTGAGAATAAATGATTAATCTTCATCTACCTTTCATATGATCAGGGAGAGATACTTCTAATACCAAAACAGTTTTCTCTGTCTTGCAACTAGCAGGCATCTAAGAAATATTAAGTCATAAATTTTTATTTTAAAATTTTAGACACAGGAGGCTGGGTGTGGTGACCCATGCCTGTAATCCCAGCACTTTGGGAGGCTGAAGTGGGTGGATCATGAGGTCAGGCGATCGAGACCATCCTGGCTAACGTGGTGAAACCCCATCTTTACTAAAAATTTAAAAAATTAGCCAGGCATCGTGGCACATGCCTGTAACCTCAGCTACTCGGGAGGCTGAGGCAGGAGAATCGCTTGAACTTGGGAGGCAGAGGTTTCAGTGAGCCGAAATCACGCCATTGCACTCCAGCCTGGGTTACATAGCGAGACTCTGTCTAAAACAAAATACAATTTTAGGTATAAAGTCTCTCTACCCTGTTTTTCTCAAGGATAAAGCTGAGTATTTTGGAAATGTAAAATTATCTGAGGGGGCCATGGATAGAATTGTGCTTTCAGCACAGAGATGCCAGTGACAATGGAGGTTATTGGAAGGGACCAGCATTTCTTTTTACATTAATGACTAATGAATGAAACATTTCAGGCTAGCAAATGGTTAACGGCTTTCCCAGAACCAGAACTACCAAAAGGAACAAATAGGATTTTTATGAATGAGACAATGTTTGTCCTGTAAAGGTTGGCATTCCGGTTGCTTGAACTTGAAGTGCTTTTTGTTTTGTTTAGGATAATAGCCACCTGTGGAGAGCTCTTGCGGCATTGTGGGGACTTCGAGCAGCAGCTAGCCAACAGGTAGGAGAGAGTAGTCATTGTCGTCTAGACACTGGGGCTCCTGATCAGCAGAAACTTGGTCTAGTACACAGTACAGCAAGGACAGCATGTGGGCAAATCTGAAGGCCACACACAGGGCAAGAGGACTGTCTGTACCTAGATACAGTGTGTCATTATTGTCATCAGATGTTTACTGAGCACCTAAAAAGGGCAAGGCTTTGTCCTACTTGGCAAGGGTCACATAATTTTGGTTTGATATGGTGGTTTCAGCCTAAATGAGGGAACAGTACATCTTGTCTCCAAATTAGGAATGGGGTGGGTTCCGACTGCTTGTTTATAAGTCAGTTGTTGGGACTTAGAATAAATTTCTGCGTAGAAACGGTGTGACAAGTGGTGGTGGAGTCCCTTGGGCCAGCCTTCAGGATCGGGGTGAACTTTGGCAGCCTGCCTTCTGTGTCCTGCGGTCATTCCATGCTGCTGAAGGGCTGTGTGTCTAAGTGAAATCTCTGGGGTCTGCCCTGGAGAAGCTTGTTCTGCCCCCTTCCTCTCTTCTCATACCTGCCAGGGGTTTTATGTTGCCCTTTGGACAGATTTTCCCTTCAAGGGGGCTCTGGCTTCTCACATTCCTTTCTTTCTTTATTCCTTTCAATGAAATCTCTCGATTCTCTTGGTATGGCTGATGCCTCTATTCCTTAGGAGCTAAGGGGAAGAGGTCTGTTTCATATGGTTGTTTGAGGGACCAGTAGCAATCCCTTAACGTCTGTCTTGGGTGATTCTTTATTGCCCTAAAGTACTCTCTGGGTGGTGGAATTTTTAGCAGTGGTACAAAGTGAAATGAAAGCACCACTGTTCCAAAAATTAGTAATGGGCGCTGGGAGAATACAGAGGGGCCACAGCAGTCCCCCTATATCTCACCCAACCTGCCCAGGACAAGAGAAAGCTCTCATATGAGATTTCAACTCGGCCTTGCTTTACTCAGCCCATAAATCACAAAATGATTCCTTTCTGAAAAGAAGTGATCCTAAGGACCTGGTGGCCAGTGTCAATCTTAGCCCAGCATATTCTGACCTATTGGCCTCTGCCACCTTTCTGTTGGTGGGGAGTGGTCCTTGGTAGGAAGCTAGTTGCTGCAGGTAAGATTGATGGGGAGATAAGATAAGCTTTATAGGTGCCTGACACACACACAGACACACACACACACACACACACACACACACACACACACACACAGTGTGCAGCCTTCCAGCCAGGAACACAGATGGTGACTTTCCAGGCTTAGTGCTTCCAGGATGACATCATCTCTTTCAGGAACTTCCTTGGATACACCCAAGCTGTTCTTGACTTGAAGCTCAGCCAGGCTTTCAGCCTCTCTGGGCTGCAAAATGCAGCCGAGAGAGGCCCATCCTTTATCTGTTGTGTCCCCATTCATTCTCCTAACCAGTCTTTCCTTACCCTTCAGAATGTAATACTTAACTTCATTAAGAGATTAAGGAAAATCCGTGTCCTAGGAATTATCATTTACTTCATTTGTATTATTCACACATGCTGCATTGTATGGCTGTGGCACTTTGGTTTTATTCACACAATTTCCGTGCTGGGCATTCAGGAGTGAGTTAGGAACAGCAGCAGCTGCTCCCCCTCTATCCTGCTGCGAGTCTTTCCCCATAATGAGAAACATCACAAAAAAATCTTGGACTGAAAGACAGCTGGTGGTCTCAGAGATGATGGAAAACACAGAACTGTGAGAAGAAACAGCCAACAAAGAGCACAGACCTTCCTTGGCAACTCTCCTCCACCTCCTGCCCTACCTCCCGCCCCGCTCGCCCCTACCTCCCACCCCGCTCACCCACTGCCTTCCCCGCCCCACTCACCCCTACCTCCTGCCCCACTCGCCCCTATCTCTAGCCCCACTCATCTCTGTCTCCCACTTTACTCACCCCTACCTCCCTTCCCACTGGACCACAGCTTTCCTTGGCTCTAAGCTAGGTCTTGGGGATATCAGATAATTAAACACAATTCTTGCCCTCAGGGAGCTCAGAGATTAATGGGAGCATCCAGCGTGTGCCATTATGCTCATTGCTGTGCCAAGAGAATGCAATAGATGTGCACAGAGGAGGGAGCATTACAATTCCATTGATTCCCTCAACTAGGACAAGTGATTGCCCACTTCTCAGCCATGGAAACTTGTGCATTTATACTAGATTCCCCAAACCTGACTGTCTCATTGAACTGTCCCCCAAAGACCTGGTCACCAAAGCCAGGGTCACCTCTCCTTCAACAGTTGTGGAGTCCCTACCACGTGACAGGTACCCTGCTAGGTGCTAGTCATTCACAGATGAAGAACACGCCATGTTTTGTCCTCACCATCCAGTCAGAGGGAAATGAGACAGCATGTGTTACATGCAGAACAGAAGCGAGAGCCCATTGGGAGCTCTGCCATTGGCTGATGGGGCCGAGGGCTGAGTGCCTCCTGGGGTCCCCAAGGCCTCTCCTCTGCCAAGCCCTTCTAATGACCCTGTGAGGCACTATCTTTGGGAAAAATCAGATTTGCCTTCTGGAAAGATCATTCGGCTAACCCTTAGGAGGACAGATTAAGTGGAACTTTGAGGACTAGAGAGAGGGAAGCCAGTTAGTTGGAAGCCTGCTGCGATCCAGGCAAGAACCAGTGAAGATTGGAAGTAAGGCAATGGCAGAGACAGGCCACAGTTTGACAGACAAGAGGTCCAACCAAAGTTACCGGTAGGCCCAAGCAACAGGAAGAATGAACTTGACCTTAATGGCAGAGGCAGGTAGCTGCTTATGTCAGCAGTGGCTCCTGAGGAAGATCCTTTCGTTGGGGTTTATTTGCAAGTACAGGCATTTCTTGACCAACTCAAGGATCTGTTTTTGAAATAGTGAGTACATCCTAAAAACTGCTATATCCAAAGCAATGTTTTCATAAGACATTACAGTAAAGGAGGAGTCAGGGAATTAGCCACACTGGGGATATGTCATAATGCGGTTCTCCTAGTTAACACATGTTCATATAATTCTGTACATACTTAAATGGGTAGGATGAGTGGTAAAGTTGGTCTACGGAAAAACAGGGTGGAGGTCGAGATTCCACTTTCCCAGCAGTACAAGGGGTGGATTATCATGGAACCTCCTCTAGGTGTTTGTCTCTCTCGAAGAGTTTGGAAAGTGCCAGCTTCAATAGATCTCTCTGTAGCACCTAAACCACAAAAATAAACCTCCCAGTGCCACTGAACACAAACACCATGCAGGCTTGGCATGTGGGACAGGTGGGTCCTATGGGTAAAGAGGTGAGCAGCGAGCTGCTGTCACTGTTTTCCAGGAGCCAGCCAGCTCTGTCCTGCCCAGTGGTCTCTCTGATGGCAGTGCTGGTGGCCCACCCTGGCATTTGACTGTTCTACACCTCGATGGTCATATAGCAAGAAAAGCCTCCACAGAAGGTGCAGTGTTGCAGACTAAACTGCGAGCTGCCCCTGTGTAGGCTGTCGGTCGTATCAGGGAGATGGCATATTCTGGCACTGTGAGTGTTAAGCAGGAATAAAAACACCAGATTTTTTCTTGAGCTCACTCTTCAATGATGAAGGACATCCTTTCATCGCCTTCTAAACTGGCCTTAATTCAGTCTGTCTCATGACGATATCTTAGAATTTAGTAAGGAGCAATCTGACCACTCCAAGAAGAAAGTTTCATGCAAATAGCTCAGGGCATGATGGTCATTCCTTTCATTACAGGATTTTGTCCACGGCCGGGAAGTATCTGTCTGATTCCTGTAGCCCCCGGAGCCTGGCTGGTTTTCAGGAGAGCATCTTGACAGACAAGAAGAGCTCTGCCAAGAACCCATGGCAAGAATATAATTACCTCCAGAAAGATAACCCTGCTGAATATGCCAGTTTAATGGAGATACTTTATACCCTCAAGGTATGAGACCAAATGGATGGCATTCTTGCAAATGAAACACTTCCTTTCATCACTCACCCTCTCGCTCTCGTGGATACAGGCGGGCCCTGTATGTGAGCCCTGGGCTGGGCGTACCCTGCCACTACTTCTCTGTCTCATTTATGTTGCGATTTTAAGGAGCTAATGTACTAAACTTGAAATGCATTGAGATACAGATGTAGAAGTTAGGAGAGATGGATCTTTATTACTGATGAAAGCCAGGTTAGAGACCATGGCTACGGGCTGGGTGCAGTGGCTCACACTTGTAATCCCAGCACTTTGGAAGGCCGAGGCAGGTGGATCACCTGAGGTCAGGAGTTCAAGACCAGCCTGGGCAACATGGTGAAACTCCATCTCTACTAAAAATACAAAAATTAGCTGGGTGTGGTGGCACACGCCTATAGTCCCAGCTACTTGGGGGGCTGAGACAGTAGAATCGCTTGAACCTGGGAGGCAGAGGTTACAGTGAGCTGAGATTGCGCCATTGCACTCCAGCCTGGGTGACAGAGCAAGACTCCGTCTTAAAATAAATAAAAATAAAAGAGAATTTGGCTTTAGATCTGCAGCTAGGGGGACTTGCTGTAATTCACTCCACAATGAAACGTGTCAGCTGGTCAGGCAGAGCTGGACAGCCCCTGACTCTGTGCAGGTTCAGCCTCCTGAGAGGGGACCAGATGTGTACTGCTTGCAAGCAGGCAGAACCTGTAACAGAGGACTCCAACCCAGGACACCAGAGAGGAGCAAGAGAAGTCACTCCTCTTTCTCAAGGGAGGATCCAGGCTGCAAAGTCACCAGGAGTCTACTGGAGTGCGAGTTCCTCCACATGAGAACATGAGGACTTAGGGATAGATGTTCTCTCCTGTTTTTTTTCTTTAAACTCTTAGTTTGCCTGCCATAAAGCTGCTCTTGCCTTTGAGCTTTGGGCCTCTTGGGGTCCAGGGACAGGAGGACCTCCTATCAAATGGAATGAGTCACACAACTCCCTGGGAATGGCCTCCAGGGTTATAAGAAGACCATGGGCACCCTTTGCAGAACCATCCCCTTCCCTCACTGGTCTGGCTTGAACTTCACTCTTGGTGATAGGCAGAGGAGACATTGCTGTTCCTGGAGCACCAGATGAAGTCGATTTTTTTTTTTACCAAGAGGGAGTCTCACTCTGTCGCCCAGGCTAGAGTGCAGTGGCGTAATCACGGCTCACTGCAACCTCCACCTCCCAGCTTCAAGTGATTCTCTTGCCTCAGCTTCCTGAGTAGCTGGGATTGTAGGTATGCACCACCACACCTGGCTAATTTTTGTATTTTTAGTAGAGACAGGCTTTCACCATATTGGCCAGGCTGGCCTCGAACTCCTGACCTCAGGTGATCTGCCCATCTCAGCCTCCCAAAGTGCTGGGATTACAGATGTGAGCCACCGTGTGTGGCCAGATGCAGTAGAAAATCATCCAGGGCCTAGAGCTCTGGGAATGAACTGCGCAGGGTGCCTGGACACGTCTGAGTTTCGGTGCTATTCTCCCAGGGCCTCCCCATCGCTTTGCACCTTGACCTACCAACTGGCTGCATTGAGCCTGACAAACACTTCTTAAAGCAATTCTGTAAACTCGTTCATCCATGCTTCTGTGATTCGGTTAAAGCAACTCTGTTTATCTTTATTGCTAATCTGACTTATGTCTGTTGTAATCAGTTCATTTATAATAGCAAAACTAAGGTTATGCTTTCTACCTCGGTATTTTCTCAGGCTATTTGGAATTCCTTGGGACTTATGGAGGTTGTACATACTCTGGCTTTCAACCAAGTTTATTTGACCTGACCTCCCTAGGAATTAGGGCTCTGTCCACCACTCTGGTTTATATGTGAAGCTTCTGATCTGCTCCCCTACCTTCCCTCCTCCTCTATCACTGGGAGATAGTCACAGGTGAATTTTTTCTAAACTGCTAGTCCCTGAGCTCATGTTAGCCCAAACGCATCAGAATCACCTGGGAAAGTGAATTTAAAATACAGATTCCTGGGCTCCAACCCCAGTGAACTCTGATGCAGTAGTTCTGGGATTGAGCTCAGGAATCTGTAATTCAGTATGTTCCCCAGGGGGGCCTGGGGCACAGCCACGTTAGGGAACCACTATTGCATCGAACCCCCCCAGTTCTCCTCTCTGTGAGTTTTCAAAATGGGTAACTAGCTAATACTTGGGTTGGGTCTCAGGCCTAACAACTGCCTTTTGCATTTTCTTGCCTTAGGAAAAAGGGTCAAGCAACCACAACCTGCTGGCTGCATCTCGAGCAGCCCTGACTCGGCTTAACCAGCAGGCCCACCAGCTGGCTTTTGATTCTGTGTTCCTGCGCATCAAACAACAGCTGTTGCTCATTTCCAAGATGGACGTGAGTTTCCCACTGACCGAATTGATTTCCCCTGGGTCCAGCCTCCAACCCAAGCATACTGAATGTGGGCTTAACCTTCCCTGCTCCAGGAGCTTTGGGAAGATCCCACTTTAACTCTCCCAGGCTGGAAAGAGTCACTTTCCAATTTCACCTCATTGCTTAGCATGAATTTCTTATCTTTATTGTAGTGACTCTGATACTGTATTCACAGGCAGTTCTCAGGATTATTAAAATTGCTTGATTAACTTTCCTCATTTGGAGCAGTGGAGAAGTAAGAGAGATTATGTGCCGCCTCATAGGTTAGGCCAGGTCAGAAGAGCTAATTGTCTTTTGAGATGGAATGATTTTCACAGTGTTTCTGGAGAATTGGTTCTGGAACTTTACACAGGGGAGTGCCTAATCAGAATTGATCTCGTGTTTTTGAGTAGGCTTTGGTGGGTTGTTCCTTTCTTTCCTTGAAACCTTTTCTATTTGGCTGTTTCCAGAATCACCTTGCCTTCCTTTCCTTGCACCCTCTTCTCTTTTCTGGTTGTTGGAATTATTCTTCAAGGCATTGCCTATTAGTACTGTTTTCTCTACTTGCTGTCTTTCCCCTGGTCCAGATCTTGTCACTTTCCTTTTGGATTACTGGGCAGTACAGCCCCCTGGTTAATGTATCTTACTGACTCTTCAGGGCCATTTGGATTCCAGTTATGGGCCTTTAATAACCAAGAGATCTTTTTACAAAACGACAATGACTCGTGGCAAAAGCAAACATGCTCTGCTTTCTGCCACCATCTAGAAAGCCTGCAAGGGCCCCTGCATGGTCTCAGTCAGACCTCACCCTCTGAGAGTCAGGATTCCCATCCGTGAAAGGGCTCAGTTAAATGACATGATCATGAGGTTCTTTCTACCCTTGGAGTTTGTGATTTTCACTCTTTATGATTTTTCTGTGCAAAATGCCATGAGACCATTTTTTTTTTTTTTTTTAGCTAGAGTCTCACTGTGTCACCAGGCTGGAGTGCAGTGGCGTGATCTCAGCTCACTGTAATCTCCACTTCCCAGGTTCAAGCAATTCCCCTGCCTCAGCCTCCTGAGTGGCTGGGACTACAGGTTTAAACCACCATGCCCAGCTAATTTTTTTGTATTTTATTAGAGACGGGTTTTCACCATGGTGACCAGGATGATCTCCTGACCTCATGATCCACCTGCCATATAGATTGGTGAGGATTAAGTGAGATTCTGTGTATTGATAGCATGTATCACAGCTCTGGCCACAGAGTAGATGTGTAATCAGTGGTAGTTTTCTTCCTTTCTGTGATGCTCATTTTTTAACAAGAATGATTTAACTTGATTTTTTACAATACAAATTGTATATGAATTTATTTTTAGAAACTCAAGCAATATAAGAAAAAAAAATCCGATAAATACCTTCAAGGTGCCACCACTGAATGGTTAAAAAATGACCTGCAGCATTTCCCTCTTCAAGGGAAGGTTCAAATGACATTCTCTGCTGCTAATCAGTGTCAGCATTTTGATGTCCAGCAACCCAGACATCCCTTTCTGCACGCCCATACACATGTTAAAGGCTGAGCGGGCATCAGTAGATAAATCTATAGGAAGAAATGGAATTCTACTGTAGTGCTGTTTTTAAGAAAAACAAGATATGCACAATATAAATTTTATTTGAATTTAATCAGAAAAAAGAGACACTAAATGAAACCAAAGGAATTATTGAACTTAACAATTTTCTTTTCTTTTCTTGAGACTGAGTCTCACTCTGTCACCCGGGCTGGAGTGCGGTGGCACGATCTCAGCTCACTACAGCCTCTGCCTCCTGGGTTCAAGCCATTCTCCTGCCTCAGCCTCCTGAATAGCTGGGACTACAGGTGCCTGCCACCACACCTACCTAATTTTTGTATTTTTTTGGTAGAGACGGTTTCACCAGGTTGCTCAGGCTGGCCTTGAACTCCTGACCTCAAGTGATTTGTCCACCTTGGCCTCCCAAAGTGCTGGGATTACAGGCATGAGACACTACACCTGGTCAAGATTTTTTTTTCCTCCACAAAAGATACTCATTCCGCAGAAGCTGTCTCCAAGATTATGAAAACTATGAAGAGATTGGAGTTGCCATTGCTTTGTGTTAATCCTGTTTCCACTGCAGACAGATACTGATACGTATGATCCACTGAAAGACGAGGGTATTAGAATTCCTTGTCTCTCTTGCCTCCTCCCCCGCCTCCAGATTGGGTTATTTGTATTATTTTTATTTTGTCAAAGCTGATGGTACTGACCTTCTGTTCTGAAACCTCAGGGCTTCCCGGCTTAGTTCTACATTTAAACAGGGCTAGTGCCTCCCTGTCCTTTTCCTCTACTTCTGCATTCCAGAGTTCATTATGATGGTACAGTTCCTGGGTGCCTGGACCTGCCTTTTCATTCCGGCTTCACCGCAGCACCAAGGGCCCTTGGGAATGGGCACAGGTGGCTTTGGAGATTAGGAGGACCGCTCTGAGGGTGCCAGCACACGATACCAAGGCAAACACTCTGGCCTTAAGGATTTGAAAATTAAACCCTGGTCATCAAATGTTTGTTTTCAGCATTTGCTGGTAAATTCTATTGCCCTTTTATATTCCAAGACTACAAACCAACACTGTATTTGATTTCAAAATAGATTATTGAAGTTTACCTATTTTACCTGGTGACAGATGGATAGAAAAGCCCATTTGAAGGATGCTTTAAATAAATTTTGAACAATTAAAAAATGACCTGCAGCATTTCCCTATTACCCTCTTCAAGGACATTCTCTGCTGCTTTTTTTTTTCTTTTTTTTTTTTTTTTTT